ACTACGTGATTAACTGTTTTTTTTTTTTTTTTCTGGAAATACCCAAGCAGTGAGGTAAGCCTTTTGTTGAACTACTCATGTACCAATTGATAAATAAATTAATTAATCAATATGATAAACGAATCGGCCGATAAATCACTGCGTAGCTAAGTGCGCTCTTGGATTAAAAAAAAAAAAAAAAAAAAAAAGAAAAAAAAAAAACAAGCGATTGCAAAACAAGTACACACCGACACGAACGAGACACGAACGGAGAGACTGCAGAGGGCAAAAAACCATCCAAATAAGAAGAGACGAGATTACGCCTTTCGTGTCAAAAGAATGGAAAAAAAAGAGATAATTTTTTTGTGCACCCGCGAGCTTTTCCATGAATGGTCGGACGAAGAGTACGACACACGAGAGCCCTAGAAAAGGAAAAGTTGCGTCCTCGCAGCACAGCTATGGATAAACTAGTGCGTTGTCGTTGTAGCGTATATACATGTACTTGTATTTGGAGCATTAGCCCCGATCGCGAAAAACCCAAAGACCTTCGCGTCGAAGATTACTCCTTTAAAAACCAAGGCAAATAATCAACGTACACGTAAAAACGTAGTTAACAAACGATCGTGTGGTTATACCTGTCAATCGATTACAGAAGCTCATTCAAAACAGCCGGAATCATTTGTATACATATAGAAGCAACGCACCCACCCACGTAGACAATGGATGTACAAATTGGGGGTATAATATCATAGGTACAAAAAGCCCGAGTGTAAACAACACGATAATACGACGGTATATGTTTCTTGGCTCGTATCCATAAATAAATACACTTACACGCACATCTCGGGTAATATATGCATGTAAGCATATACGTAAAACACGTATAATAGTCGTGCAACAAACTCTCGCGCGATATATCGATTCTGTCCTCTATACCCTCGGTCACTCGAACCTCACATGCCTCACTAACTGGATCAACCATGCACGTACACACATATATACAAATAATCCCTGATGTCGTCAACGAGAAAAATATATGTTTTTGTTTTTCTTTTTTATTTTAATACGCCCAAATGTCAAGTCCAAGCAATCCGCAAGCTCGGCGCAGTCGAGGGTATAGGGTGCAGGCGTTTGTTACATGGACTCGCTTTATTCCGCGTACAACGAATTTGGGTCAGGGCCAGTGTTGCCGCGCACTGCAATGTTAGGTATATTTATATGTAGGATGTGACTGCGTGCAACCAACGGTTGTAAGTTTCCTCGTGGACGCGGAGGACTCGGGAAGCGAGCTTGCAAGCTCTCGGGCCCGTGTATAGTGAAATGGAAAAGACAAACACGTGGTATCGTATACCTAGGCATGGGAAGGGCAATTATGTGACGTTGCCCCGGTGTCCCCCGACCATACGGCGAATTCTCGGAAGGAAAAAGAGAGCTCGACCCAGTTAAAGCGACGGACGCCCGGAGGGACGGCGTGTAATGGAGAGCCGAGGATTAAGGGAAACGCGATCAAGCTCGCCGAGTCAACATCAAATACGTATATCTATATTATGTAAGGGGGCAGGGACGGTGCGTGATAAATGGACTGCACGAGAGGCGCGACGCATTAAAGAGACACTATTTATGTATACAGATGACCGTAAAGTGCAAGCGATCGAGCTTGCGGCTCTGAAAGGACGATGAGGGTTTTAATTTCTCGCGCGTATAATATATTGTCGTTGTATTTCGCAAAAGCAACGACACGCGTAGCCTATGTAGGGGTATACAAGTGATGAGAGCTGGGGTGCGTTAAGCCGAATTAACCTCGTTTATTTGCTTGTGCGCCGTTGTACACGGCAGCGGACGTTGTACGCCCGACAGGGACAACGTCGGTGACAACAGCGGCGGAAAGGCGTTAAATACCGTTAATCGTAGGTGTATATAACGTGAGCAAGGACACGAGATTTACGGAGTTGGACTTTTGTTTTTTTTTGTCATTTTTCCAATTTACGGGGACGAGTGATGGACTGGATTTTTAATCATCTCGCTGTGATTGCTCGTCCAATCCGAGCTAACGTAAACTTACTCTTTGGGCGGGAATTCAATTTGCTTTCGGGTATACAAAAGAACCCACTCCACACGGTATACAGGAAAAAGCCCGATAATTTTCAACAGAGACGAGGAAATCCAAAAACTCCGATGGTAACGATGAACGAAAAAAACCACGCCTGGGGCAAGAAAGAAAAAAAAAAAAAAAAATTGTCATCCTTAGTCTCGGGACAAAGGGCGGCCAATCAACTCGGAGAGTATATGTATAGCTACTTGATATTTTTTTTTTTTTTTATAAAAAAATACAGCCCCGAAAAAAAAAAAAAAAAAAAAGAAAGAAAATGCACTCTCCCAGCAATTGGAATAACAGCTCCTTTTTATTTACCCGATGGCAGTTGGCACGAGTGCATTTGTATCGGGTAAGAAAATCCTGAACAAGACGAAACGTAACACATTGTGTTATTAATCAAGCAGAAAGAAAAAAAATACAGGGAGCACATAAATATGATAGAAACACCGGAGAAAAGCCACTCGCCCACATCGGACGTAGGGTACAGTTATCGTTATCATCATCGCCGACGTGTAACAACAAAAGCTGTCAACGGCGAGCTTGCACCACGGAAAGCCCTTCTCCAGCGCGTACACTACAAAAAAAAAGGGGTGGGGGAGGTATCATCGGCGCATAGAGAGCTTTTATCGCGCGCTACCCGCACAATCTAAATGCCACCCTACACTGCACCCCCGGCCCACCCAAGCCCCACACGCGCTCAACATCGTACACGTATTGTAAGCTTCACGTGCGAGAGCATCGGGGAAGGGAGAAACAACTGCACCTTTCATCTTTCGCGGGGATTCACCATAACGCGCGTATTACGCAACGGCGCGCCGGAGCTTGCAGCGAGAGTAAAGCTAGAAAAGAAGGTAAAAGGAAACCGAGGCGCGGTCCCTCCCTATTTTGCGCTTTTACGACACGCACACGCGCACGTATACACTATTATTATGCTTTGCAAGGCATATACATGTACATGTATATGTATAGATGTATACGATAAAGGTAGAAGTGCAGCGCGCGCGAGCTTGGAATCGAGCGGGAGCCACCTTTGGCGCGGCGTCGACCGACACTACTGCCGCGAGCTTAATAGCCTGTGGAACCGGGGGTCGTGCGCGCTCACCCACGCTATATCGATCCTCCATCCTCGCCGCCGCTACCGCCGTTCTCGTCGCCGCGCGCACCGTACCAGCGACTCGCTCGCTCGTCCGAGCTTTCGTGTATTATACGTTGGGCCTGACACGGTGCATTGCAGGAGAAGGGGGGGTTACTCTTTTGTTTTTCCGGGATTGCGTGGATCGCCCTCCACCAGAGTTTACCTCGATAGACTCGCTTTTTTTTTGGGGGGGGCTGTCCCGATGGAGCCACCACCCCCGAGAGCGATGCCCCTGGTGCAACGGACAGGCCTTAAAGCTTCGTCCTCGCGAAGGATCCGTGTGCTCCAGTGGCCCAATTTTCCTCTCCACGGCGGCTTCCCCGTCCCTTTGTCCTTTGGACCAAACTCCATGCCCCTTTCTTTGGATATAATACGTGATCTTGTGGCTATGGATTTACACGTCGAGTCTTTATTAACTTGCCCCAGGTGCTGTAAAATATTCAACACGTAGAGGAAAATTGTCAATCTTCAAACAGCTCGCGCGTCGATAATCCGCGCAATAAAGCGCGCGCGCGTGTGTTTCGTATTTTCCCGTCGATGATGCAATTTTCCGGCTGATTGTTCCCGATACGCGACACCGAGAGTTCTCTTGTGCTCAGTAGTCCACTTTTTACATATGCGCGGGGAAAAGCTTTGCTTCGTGCGTTGGTCTATTGCAGACTATCGGGTTTCGATGCTGTTGCTTTCCCCGTCAGTGCAAAAAAAAAACTTGCTGAGCTCTCTCTCTCTCTCTCTGGTGCAGAGTGCTTTTGTATTATACGAGTATCCATGCCTGTACAACTTTATTACGTGGTTTTTACTCTCCTATAACTCGATGTCTTGGGTTTCGAGTATCTCGCGAATGAAAACTCGACCTATACGCTTGTGGAAAATTCAATTTCATCGATCACCTCCGGATACGTAAAAACATTAATTTCACAGCCACTAATGTGAGCATGATTGTGTGCACACTTAACAAATGCGAGTAACGTTCGGCCTTGGCATAAATAAATAAATATCAATTGCCACAAACTTCCTTCTCATGTAGGATATGTACGTCGCTAATTCACCGCTTATTACTTTCAACTCGAGGTAAAATCGCAACTCCAGCCCTGCATACTGTGTAGGTACATGTATATTGTAGAAGCGTCCACGCGTCCCTGTAAACGTCATCCCCGTGTGTACAAGTACGGACGCACCGATACTCCGGTCGAAATACCTCGCCAAAAAAGAAGAACCGGCGTCCCAACGCCTCGCATGTATGGATGAAAAAAAAAAAAAAAAAAAAAAAATCGCGCACAGCACTGTATGTATAGGAGCTAACGGGTGCTATGATATGTTTAATTGGCCGAAGAAGCCGTTCGCGCATACTAATCGCCACGGCAGCGTTGCCTTGTACATCGAGTCGAATGGATGATACGTGGATGTGTCTGCTCACAGTCGAGGTGATGTCTCGGGAGTCCTACTTTCGCGAGAACCCGTCGAGTTAAAATAACGAGAGATAAAACCAAAAGAGTTTTGAGGCTTGGATTATTTCCTATATATAACATATCTGCATACTTATACAGGAAATATCATTACAATGCCTTTGTATGTTTGGTCTCGTATCATACGTAGGGGTGAGAAAGCCTCAATTTTGCACTATAGCTCGAGGTAACGGAATTATACTTACACATATTATACCGATGCATTTTATGTATATATATGTATGTTGTCAGTTAGTGAGGACGGATGAGTAAAATAAGGGGGTATTTTTTTTTTTTAACCCTTTAAAAATTAAGCTTTTGGTTGGAAAATTAGGTAAAAATGTACCTGATTTGTGTGTGATAGGTGGGTACCGTGTGGTCGGTGTGTGCGGTCAAAAGTTCCGCGGGACTAGCTGCCATGATGTCCACTGGGATCGGATCCAGCAGGAGAACGCCAGGCGTCGAAGGAAACGGTTTAGGCCCCAGTAACGATACGCGCACCTTTTCTCTCCCTTCGCTGAAACAAATTAACAAAAAACAAAGTTATACATGTTGCATGTAAATCAAAAGAATATAGTTGTAAAAAAAAATGGGCCTGCACCACATTATCTGATTTTACATCAGCACTTATATATAAAACGGTGTGGTTGGATAATTTATCATCGAGAACAGGCAGAGTATGTACCTTCCTGCCGTCCTTACATCACGACCATAAAGAGCAAAGACCATTAAAAAAAAAAAAAAATTAATTATGATTAGGCACGATGCGGACCTCGTTACAGCGTGTGGTTCCATGTCTCTCTATCCTCGTGGCACCAAACTTTAACGATTTAACTTTTCGCACCGCCAAAAGGGGCCACGCATCACCTGCTCTCGCTCGCGTGATTATTTCGTATTAAAATCGGCCCGAACGCCCGAGAGCCCAGATACGATAGCGCTAAACAGGAGCAGGTGATGCTTGTTGCGATGAGTCGGACGCGTACAATACTTTCGTACGTTTGCTGTGCGCCGTGGGATTTTCGGGTGCTAAAGGTGCTTATTGCCGAGCGATTAGCGACCGAGGCGCGCGCGTCTCGACAATTAACGGGGAAGATCACGCATAGTGCGTCACACGATATTGTATTTTTTGATCATTTCGCAGACGGATTTCAATTTTATACCAAATTACTCGAAAATTTCTAAAGTATGATTCTTTTTTTTCTTCTTAAAGCTCCAACTACGTGATTAACTGTTTTTTTTTTTTTTTTCTGGAAATACCCAAGCAGTGAGGTAAGCCTTTTGTTGAACTACTCATGTACCAATTGATAAATAAATTAATTAATCAATATGATAAACGAATCGGCCGATAAATCACTGCGTAGCTAAGTGCGCTCTTGGATTAAAAAAAAAAAAAAAAAAAAAAAAAAAAAAAAAAAAAAAATGGTATATAGGTATCTCTTTAACTACACGAATATCTCTCTCTTTTTTCAATTTAATTCGGCCTCTTTTTACAATTTACAGTCAATTACTACACGGCGATGCAAAGCCCGAGATGCGAGCGGCGGGATAACGTTTCACCATCCGAAAGCAATCAAGAACGTCATAATTTAAATCGCGGCAATTTCGGAGCTCTAGACGAGCAATCGTCCCAGAGTTGCCTTGGCTACATGTATTTACGTGTGTACACACACAGCGAGCACACAACGCCCGTGTATATACACCTGGACAGATATCTATGTAAAAACTCATTTTTAGCACTGATTGCATAGCTGATGCCAGCGGTGCCTGCGGGTAATTAAATGACAAACGTATATGCATGTAGTTTCTTGATTGTGACGATCGTCTGGAAATCGGAAAATACATTTCATTACGTTGATTCGACGAGTAATGATTACATTGTTTTTATTTTTTTTTATTTTTTTTTTTTCAAATTACGTAATTCAAATGTTACTCTTTTTTTTGTCTCCACAAGCGTTCGTAACACGAGTTACATCACGGAATTCAAAGTATGCGCGATGAGATGCGTTGGCTTGGCTCCGTTTGCATTACGTGGACGGCACTCGCGAGCATCATCGTTTAAGAAAATTTGTTTAATTGACAGACCGACTGAACCCCCGTCCCCGTCTAACGGGCACCGACATGTTGTTGCTGTATGATTGTGTTGACAATTACCGTTGCACGTTAAATTTTACTCTCGACGCGGCTGTACAACCTTACTTTTTTTTTTCTTTTGCTTTTACAACAAATATAAATACACATTTTTTTTTTTTTTTTTTACATTTTCTACGAAAGAACTAGTGATGAAACGCCCATCTGACTGAAATCCGTTTGAAAATTCGTAGTAGAATATACTTTGGTCCTACTTGTACAATATAAATACGCGATTGAGGATGAAAGCACTCGGTAAAGAGCGAACGATAACATCTGCGATAAAAATTCCAGATCGAGTCAATTTTTTTTTTTCTTTTCTTTTTACATGTTTAATTTCCGGTGTACTCTTTCTTTCACGTGTTGCTCGCTAGTGGCTTGCTGCCAGTCCGTGTTGCCAAAATCTACGAGCCCACTTTTTCCTGCTGTACCTGTGTAGGCTCTCGTTTTCGCCCTCCAAACAACTCAAAAACTAATGCCAGCACTGTCCCCTTCTGATTTTTCTCTTCTTTTCTATCAAAGCAATTGTTAATTGTAAGATTTAATGCTTTCAACTGTATTTTGTTTAACGCAGTTGAAGTGGGCAATTAATTGAAAAAAAAAAAAAAAAAAAAAATTATCCGTGTACAATGATGATATGCAATCGCATCAAAATTAGAAATAGAGGAGTACGTCACTCACAAAGTTAAAGTATTTCGGGTGAACGGTAAAAAAGGCGCTTTGAAATTTTAAAAGTCTCGTAAGTAGCTCCTTGATTTTTTTTAAGCTTCGATAACTACTCTACAAGCCGATCCAACATATTGTACCGATAGGTTTTTGTGTGTTATAATAATAAAAATGACGATCATTGTTAAATTCAAGGTCGCGTACAAACGGACGTACGTACTGACGAGCGTTAAATAGACGATATTCCTGCCGTTCAGCGAATAGGATGAAAAAAAAAAAAAAAAAAAAAATAGTAATCTCTCGAGTTTGAAGCATGTATATGGATATAATAAGTACACTCGCAACTGCATTTCATTACTGCACAGAAATTTGTAACACAACTTACATTCTCTGAGAATATCCACCGCCTATCGCCAACGATGAAACGTGATTTTATGCAATTCGCCCATTTAACTTTGCACTATTAAATTTAAAACGGTACAATCGATTTTGGTCGATAGTTGTACTGTAGATATATTTTTTGAAGACAGTTCCTACGTATAAATGTACCGTTGCGTGTACATTATATTAATTTACCAGGCATATCAATATCACTTATCACCACATAACACTAGTTTATTACCATGACACACACTCATCGTCTAAAAATGCAAGCGATGGTATATATTCTGTGAGAGGGAGAAAGACATGTAGATATACACACGTAAGTGTGTTATATCGTAATTCGTATAGGGCATACGCATTGTGTACACTCACCGTTTGATTCGCTAACCGCGAAGTTTGAAGTCTTAAATTTTATTATGACAAATAAACATAAAATATGATTTTAACATTGTTCAATAGTTGTTAATATGATAGTTGTTTATCGTTTTATTTTTTCTTTATGGTTATGGTTGTTCCTCGTCTTTTGATATGATAAATTACTTCAAGAATTCAAACTTCGCGGTTTGCAAATCAACGGTTGTACGGTGTGTGGGTACAGCGGCATTTCAGTTAACCAGGGGAATCACATTACTCTACAGTATTGAGACTATGAGCTTGTGGCGAATGTATAAACGAAGGATTACTAATCTCAGTGAGTATGAAGGCACGATCCACCATACACGCATTTTTAGCAATTTAGTATAGTAACGGAAAAATTTTTATGTGACGGAATGGCGGAAAAACTTGAGCAACTTGATCACAAGCGTCTTGGTAAGGCTGATAGATAAGTTACAAAGTTGTATGCTCTGTATGTTGAATGCTTTAATTGGTGTTGTGCGTCTTTTTGACTTATAACCTCTATCTCTGACGTAACTCTCTTTCACTGCGTTAATGGTTGTTTGGTTTTTTGCTGTTGTAGAGAGGTTGAGCTTGAGAATTAGTAGTGCTCCTAATGCAAATAATTCGGAAAGGATGGTGGAAAAAACTCAGGAAGAAGAAATCAAGTTGGCCAGAGAAATCCGAAAAGAAAAGTACAGGGCTGACCGAAAATCCAGAGGATTGCCATCCTCCGACGAGGAGGAAAGTTTAGAATTGTTGGTATAATGCTTGCACTATCATTATTATAGAATGTAAATTAGTATCATCTGTTTTTTTTCAACAAAATACTTTCTTATAGCGAAAACAAGGATACAAAAACGCTGGCGTACGTCCCAAAAAAGAAACTCCCAAAGGAGTTGGAAAACATGAAAAATTTGAAGCACAGACTCAATGAGTCTGCCGCAAAAATAAGACAACAAATGCATCAGGCATATGTACTTGAAAATGGGAGCTCTTCCGACTTGAGACAGTGCGAAGGGTACAACTGCCAAGATTGTGAAAAGTGAGTTTCTGCAAAATACTCATGAATCATTACTTATTTGAATTCTCTTGCAAGTCATAATATGTGTACTTTAGGCACAGGAAGAAACCTGAAGAAGAAAATGTTGTGATTCCAAAAAGGCTCCCTTATGAAATAAGGAAAATAAAAGAGTCAAAACTACGCCTCAATGAAGAAATACAAAAAGAAAGAATGGAGAAAAGCCTAAGATACCATAATTCTTTCTCTAGGTAAGGATGGAGCTGATGATCTGATTTTTCTATGCCAGTTAAATGTAAGTTTTGTCGAAAGACAATTTATACTTTCTTTGTAATTATGATTCTCAGTATTTGCAGATCTTTAATAAAGCTAATTGTAATAATAGAACTTGAACTTCTAAAAAGATCTTTAAAAATCATCTCGTTAATTACTTGGTAATCAAAAATACATTCAATTAAGAAATGAGTACGGACACCCATATTTCGTTATTAGATCTATTCTGACTAGAATGTACATAGACCTGGATGGATAAACCGATGTTGGCTCTCGTTTATGATGCTACCTACCATCGTTTTGTGCCTCATTTACGTTTTTGGCCCAGTTATCTGCAAAACTTAACTAATGTTTTTTTTTTTTTTCAATTTTTCATAGATCAAGTTTAGGTGGTTAATTCGGTGAAATTGTCTTTTTTTTATCATAGTACTTGCACTAAAGAGTGTTCCCCTTATTCTTCGTTGTTTGTACTCTGAAGTGAGGTTGCAAATCCAGACCGTGGAATCGTATATACGAATTAAATCGTACAATTGTAGTTCATGCCATTAGCGTAATCAACAGTCTGTTTTTATGGCTGCAATCGATAGTAAACGGGAAGGGCTGAAATCGATACCTTCAAAAACTGCTGAACTCGCACAATACGGAGAAGCTCATCGTACACTAGTAACACA